ATCCCCACTGTAAATATATGATGCCCTCAAACAATAAACCCTAAACATCAATTGAAATTATTGCATATATCATCCCTCACCTCCTAAAAGTTCCTTTTTTTACCCCCTTTCTGTAAAAATTATGTGAGAAATTATTCCAAACCCAGGTAAAATTAAAATATAAACTTCAGAATGACCAAAAAATCAAAATAAATGTTGATAAAGAACTGGATCCCCTCCCCCAACAGGATCATAAAATGAAGTATTTAAATTTCGATCAAAAAGTAATATTGTAATACCCCCTTCGCTAATACAGGTAATAATAACAATAATAAAATTGTTGTTAAAAAAATTGATCAACAAAATAAAGTAATTTTATCTATTCTTATTAAATTTGGGCGAATATTTAAAATTGTAGAAATAAAATTAATAGACCCTAAAATTGATGATACACCTGTCAAATGTAATGAAAAAATTACTAAATCTGTTGAAATTCCTGGATGTCTTATTCTTAAAGATAAAGGAGGATACACAGTTCACCCAGTTCCAGCCCCCTGGGGATCGATTACGTAACATTCCCACTTCCCACATCTCACTTCCCACATTTTACATCCCACTTCCCAAATCCCACATCTCACTTCCTACATTTTACATCCCACATTTTACATCCCACATCTCACTTCCCACATCCCATATTTCACATCTCACTTCCCATATTTCATATCCCACTTCCCATATTTCACACCCCACTTCCCATATTTCATATCCCACTTCCCATATTTCACATCCTACATCTCACTTCCCACATTTTACATCCCACTTCTCACTTCCCACATTTTACATCCCACATCTCACTTCCCACTTTTTACATCCCACATCTCACTTCCTACATTTTACATCTCACTTCCTACATTTTACATCCCACTTCCCACATTTTACATCCCACATCCCATATTTCGCATCTCACTTCCCATATTTCATATCCCACTTCCCATATTTCACACCCCATTTCCCATATTTCAAATCCCACTTCCCATATTTCACATCCCACTTCTCACTTCCCATATTTCATATCCCACTTCCCACATTCCACTTCCCATATTTCACATACCACATCCCACTTCCCATATTTCACATTCCACATCTCACTTCCCACATTTCACATCCCACTTCTCACACTTCACATCTTACTTTGTACATTACACTTTTCTTATCACGCTTCCCACCTTTTATATCCCACTTCTCACATCTCTCCCATTTCCCACAAGATATTGGATGTGGGAAGTGGTATGTAAAATGTGGGAAGTGAGATGTGGGAAGTGGGATGTAAAATGTGGGAATTGAGAAGTGGGATGTAAAATGTGGGAAGTGAGATGTGGGATGTGGGAAAGTTACGTAATCGACCCCCTGATCAATAAATATACTTATAATTATTAAAATTAAAGAAGGGAATAATAATCATAATCTCATATTATTTAGACGTGGAAAAGCTATATCAGGAACCGTAATTATTTAAAAAAACTAAATAATTTCCAAACCCCCAACTACAATTGGTACATTTCCCTAATTTCAGCAATATTTCAAGGACTTTGCATTGGAATATTTCAAAATTTTAATGAAATATTTCAGAAATATTTAGAAAATATCATGTACGATGTGGGAAAATAAAGAATTGTGCAAGACTAGAACAAAAAAAGTACGTACATAATAACAATTTTTAAAAATTTTAGTTATTAATTTTTCAGAATAATTCACATTTAACACCTCGACAGTAATGTATGATGTTAGTTTTTCAAAATTTAAAATGGTGGTTCCAATATGGCGAATACAAAAATTAAAAATCAATAGAATTTACTAATATCATATTCTTAATCCCCCGAGTAACATGTAATTTAAGTAAATCTGTCAAATTTAGAAAAATATATCCGCTATATTGAATTTTGAAAAACTAACATCATATATTCGTAATCATTGACCCAAAAACCCTCGAGTAACGTGATTCAAACGATACGTCGAATTTAGAAAAATATGTCCGCCATTTTTTTTTTATTTTTAAAAACAGACTTCAGATTCGTAATCACTGACCTCGTGAACTTAGTTTTAAAAATAGTGGCATAAAAGTTTCTGAAAATTTTAAATAATATTTAAAATTTTGCTCCTTACAGCGAAGGGGTTAAAATAAAAATATGATTTTTTTTAACCCAGAAATATTCAAAAATTATTATTTTTTCAAAAAACAAATTTTGTCTGCAAGTACAAGTACATAAAGAAAAAAATCATAAAATTTAGAAAAATTTTCTCAAAATCAATTTTAATACTAGACAGTACAATTAATATTCTGACTACGGCCCTGGCTCTGTAAGCTGTCATGGCGGCACCCCTATCTTTAATTCAGTTTAAGTTATAGAACTACATGGAAAAAATTTTGGTTGGCGTGACATTCCAAGCGGCCTCCAGTGGTACGTCTTTTGAAACAGTAATGTTGCATTCCTCGTTTGATGACGCTGCATTTCTCCTTCTGTCGCCTCTGCACACTGAAGTTTTGGGGCAACTAAAACTTTGGAACTGCGGCAATCACATCTCGAGCGATCAGCCACAGTCGAGTCGCTCCCATACATTATTTTGGCCACGATCAAAAACGCCATCTGCAGCTGGACCCTAAGAACTAATACCCCCATTTTGTCAATTTTCATTTCCCCCTCCTCCTCCTTTGCCCAAAAGAAAGGACAAACGGAGGAGAAATTGATAAAGTGGGGGCGCTAGTATTTAGAATCCAACTGCAGATGGCGCTCTTTTTCGTGGACAAAATGTAACTCGACTGTGCGATCAGCCTTGCTTTTTCGAATTGAAGTCGTGCTATACGTCGTAGATTTTCGTCTCATTGGAACATTCAGACGCTCAAAATTTTTTCCGTGTATTAATTTTTGACCCTAGCGTCGATTATTTACTTTTATAATAACTGGTGGTGATTAAAAGTGTTCAAAGGTCTCTGAAATTCTTTAGCATTTAATTATCGCCCTATAAATACGGCACTGAACGTACAAATGATAAACATTGATTTTAAAACACATTTTTCTCGAATTATGGACACTTTTTATAAAATCGGCCAACGTAACAAGATTTCTTATCTTATAAATTTCCTAAAACCGAAAAATTTTTCAAATCACTGCAAAAACGCGATCGTAAAATTGAAAATAGAAATGTAATAATTTTAGCTTTATTACGTCCTGCTGCCGTTAGATGGCAGAAACATGCACGGAGCACAAAGTCGCAGCTGTGATTATTATTATTTTCTTATTTCCAATTTTGCGATCGTGTTTTTGCATGGATTCCAAAAATCTTTTGGATTTAGGAAATTTATAAGATAAGAAATATTGGTACGTTGGCCGATTTTATAAAAAGTGTTCATAATTCGAGAAAAAAGTGTTTTAAAATCAATGTTTATCATTTGTACGTTCAGTGCCGTATTTATAGGGCGATAATTGACCTTTAAACACTTTTAATTAAAAAATTGTTTGGGGTAGTTTTCTACCCCAGTTGTAATTCTACGTATGAGCCAGCTGTGTTGTACTGTCTAGGCTTAAAATCCAAAAATACATAAATATTCAATAATTATTATTTTTCAAATAGAAATTTTCTACTGAATTGTAATAGTCGAGCACAAGAAAAAATTTGGACAAAATTTGTTTTCGAAAAATAATAATTTCTGGGTAAAAAAATCGAGTTTTGAATTTTAATTTGAATTATTTGGAATAATGTATTATTAAAATTTTTGAAAATTGTTGTAAGAATTTAGTTTTGTTATTTTCTTGTAAAATTTTTTGTTTTTAATTACACAGAAATGGCATTTTTGAGGTTAAAAATAGTTTTTTTTTTAAATTTTTAATATTTTCAATTTAATTTTCGAGTCAGTATCAAAAATGCACAAAATTTTTTTTTTTAAATATTAAATTGAATAATACATAAATATTGTTATTTTTACATTCGATGATTTTACTTCTGTTATTTTAATTATTTTATAACCTTTCTTTAAATACTTTTTTTATGCATTTATATTTTTTTTTTGTTATTTTGAACATTTAAATTTTTTTTTTACTTTTTCATGTTAAACATAATTTTCTTTTTCTTTATTATTTTAAACATAATTTTTTTGTTATAATAAATAAATATATTATTTACCAAATAATTTTTTATATTTATTATAATTTTTTTTATAAATTTCTGTTAATACATGAATAAGAAAGTTAATATTTTATGTTGTGCATAACTTTTTTTTTAAATTAAAAAATTTGGTAAATAGAAAATAACAAGTTAACAAAAATGTTATGTAAAAAATAACAAAAAGAAATTCTGCATTATCTACAAAAAAAAATTTCAATGTTTAAAATAAAAAACAAAAACATTTTTTTTTTTAATTTAGAAAAGTAATTTAAGAATAATTGTTAATAATAAAAATAACAAAAATAAATACATCTCCTGCTTTTTTAATTTATTGTTTAATATTATTTTTTATTTTTTCAAATTTCCTAACTTTATTACAAAATGAACTACTAAGAAAACACTATTGCTGTTTTCAATTTTTTAATATTTAGACAGTTTTTATGGTACAAAAACAATTGCTTGTAATTATTATTTATAAAAAAATATATTTCTAACCTTAGCCTTCAGCCCAATGTATAATTTATTTTCGACGATGAAATCTGCTGGAAAACACGTGGCTAAACAAAGTTTTGAACACTCCCGAAACCATGTTTATTACAACTAAAAATCAAAATATTTTTTCTAAAGATTTAAGCTATCGCGATTTTAAGAGTTTCAAACATTTACGGAACAAAAAAATTACTAAATTGACAGAAAAAAAAAGTTTAACATTTTTAAAAATTTTTCGTTCGCGTTTAAAAAAAAAAAATTCGAGCACTCCAGAAGCTATTCACTTTAAATGTGAAAATATAAAATAAAGGAAATTATATATTTAACAACGGACAAAACTTTGCATTTAAAATTACAAAATTGACACTTACATTAATCACGTCTAAACAGGTCAATACACGAATTGCAACTGATTGAATTATTATCTTTGCGATTTTACAATCACAATGTTTATGATCTTCGGCTCAAGGTACCCTTCGTCAATGTCAACATACACAGCTCAGGTTGCACAGCTATAAACATTTACAAAATCTCTTCAAAATTAAAATTTATAAATTTAAATATTTATTTATTCAATTAACCTTGAGACTGCCGGCAAAATGCAATAAAAATTTTATAGAAAATTTTCAAAAATTTTATGAATTAATTTAGAAAATTGCTAAAGTGGCTTTCCGGCATTCTCAAGGTTAAAATTTTTTTAAATCTACGTATTTCTTCCACTGAATTTTGTAATTTTTTTTATTGTTAAAAATGACTTATTTAATTATTTACAACATATTAAAAATTCATTGGAAAAAATGTGAAAATTTTTTATCTTTATTTACAATTTTTTTTTTTTTTTTTTTTGCAATTGATAAAAACTTTTTCCTCCACTTTCTTTGTAATCGTACAATATAAAAAGATATAATTTTTATTGAAATAAGTGTTTAACTTCTAATTTCGACAAGTATAAAAAAAAAACTTTTTCTCTTTCTTTATATTGGCAAAAAATGTATTTAATTCAAATAATCACTTACTTGAATATATTATCAAATATTTATTTGTATCAAATAATTATTATATCATTTAATTAAAGAGGTATTTGTTTTAAATAAAAAATTATTGATTCTAATACAATTTATTTGCTAATAACCAATTCATTATTTGAACTAAATAAATTTGTTTTCAATACAATAGTGATAGGAATTCAGAAAAGATATTTATTTTTACGCCATTAACGAGATCAATTTTTATGTAAAAAAATAATTTTATAAACTAAAAATATTTTTAAATTAGTTTAAATTTATGTGAAAGCAATTTCTAAATAATAATTATTAACAATAGAAAAATGAATTTCACAATGCGTAAAGTATTTTACCTTTTTTCTATTTTTGGTGCAATTAACAATTCAAAAGTAAGATATTTTTTTATAATTCGTTAATTTTTGTATTTTTTATTGAAATTTAAAATTTTTTATATTTATCTTATATTTTTATTTTATTATTCATAATTATAATTGATTTTTAATTTAAGGCTCTTATCAGAAGTGGAACTGCACTTTCTGGAAAGGTTATGTCAAGTGTTGAGCATCAAGGCGTTATTGTAAAAAAATTGAACAAAACTTCAACAGAAATTTTCTATACAGAAGAATTTAACGTCGATAAAAATCCTTTAAAAGTATATATATTAGATTTACTAATTCGATAATTTTTTTTATTACATTCTGAATATATAAATTTTTACATAGTTTTAAATTTTATTTGCGTATAGCTAATATAAATTGAAAATAATTCAACGCCATATTGGAGACGCCATTTTGAAATTTTTAATTCTAACATCAGTTTCGTGAATAGTGGTTTTTAAAAGCTTTCTATTATATAATATATTATATTATTTTTAATATTATTATATTTGTTTATTATTATATTGTGTATTATTATATATGAATATATATATGTATATTTCTGTCTATGTATAGCTTTATTGGGATTACTTTTTTGAAAATACTGGAAAACGACAGATCATAAAAGTTGATAATTTATGTGCCCAACAAAAATATGGTACTCCGGAATATGCTGCCCAGTTATATGTATTAAAATTTTTTGCCAACACTACTAAATGTCCGATAAAAAAGGTAATGAACAAAAAAAAAACTTTTTATTTTAAAAAATAAAAAAAAAAAGAAAAACAATGTTTTTTTAAACAAATTATTTAAACAAAAATAATCTTCAAGAATATTCTCAAACTTTTTTGCAAAATCTTCAGAGTATTTATTTCCAGATATGTAAAAATAAAAAAAATTTGTATTCAAATCTATAAAAAAAAAAAATTATTTATTTATAAAAAAAATTGTTATTTTTTATACAAAAATTCATAAAAAACAATTTTTTTAAAAATTAATATTAATTATTTATAGGGAACCAAAGCTGTATTCACATTAGGAATATCTTACATATATTCTATTAGTAATCCAGGATGTGGGTTTAATGACGGATCATTCAGTGTATTTAAGAAAAATTCAAGAAAAGACAAAACACCACTAGTTTTTCTATTTAATTTTAGAGGATATATCACTGGTGCCGATTGTTAAAAAAAAGTGTATAATTTAATAAAAAAATTAAAAAAAAAAAACTGTTATCAATTTTTTAAAAAATATATAATTGTTTAATTTCTCACGTTTATAAACAAAGTAATATTGTTAAACAAATATTTTTTAATTTTAAAATAAAAAGGCTATTTAGAAACCAAATGTCTGCTGATTCAAATTTTATATACAAAATAGAAAAATTCTTAAGAAAAAATTTTTCCGAAGAAATTTTATTTTTAAATTTCTACTTTGAATACTTTTTTTTATATTTTTCAACAAAAACGTTCTTTACATTGTTCCAAACTAGTTTTAGACTTTTTTAAAAATCAAATTTGAATTTATCTGATGTTATCAGTTTGAATATGCGTAAAGCCAAAGTTCTTCTAAATAAATTTGGATTTATTCAAATCACAATTAACTTGTTTTAAATTGTTCCAAACTAGTTTGAATTTGTGTATAATCAATCTGAACTAGATTCACAAAATTTTGTGAAACTATTTTGAATATTTAGAAATACCAATCTGAATTTGTTTCAAATTTGTCCCGAACAAGTTTCTATTTTTGCAATAGTTAACTTATTTTTAGTAGTTCAAAAATAGTTTCGAATGTTTTAAAATAATTTTGGATTTATTTTCAAATTGTTTTAAATTAGTTTCAGTTTGTGTAAAAAAAACATAGGGGAATAGTGTCAGGGTTGGACACAGTTTTGGTTTATAAATATTTTGTTTAGATAAATTCAGTCAATTGTGGTATATGGGTGGAAAGATCTACAAAAGAGGAACACTTTTGCTGTGGACCGTAAATTGATTGGTCCAAAATTAAAAAAGTTATAAACATTTAAAAAAAAAAAAATCTAGTCAGGGTTGGACTTTTCAATCAGGGTTGGACACTTTTTGAAAATCGAAACGCTTTATTGGTAAAAACGTAAAATAACATTTGTAATGTTTTTTATTCTTATTTTTTCATGTTTATCTTTACTTATTGTTTACAAATTGTAAAGCTTCATGGGTTTAAAAAAGGAATGAACTCAAATTATAAAAAATAACGCTTTATTGTTCCAAATAACTCAATGAAATGATGAACAAAATTTATACAATTTAAGTATTATTTTTCTAATATCTTTGGCACAATTTTGCACTGAAATATCAATAAAATAAAATTTATTTATAAATTGTGTCAAATTCATAATTAATATGGGTCTCCAACCCTAACTAGAAGCATCACTTTCGAATTGTGCTAACCATAACTAGACATGTGTCGCGATTCGATTTTTCATTTTTTTTCTTCTTAAATTATGTACCCCACAATACATTCAATAAGCTTACCTTGCCAAATTCTGTCTTTTTTACACATTTTTTAGGTTTATTCACAAGTCAAACAAAACTTTTTTTGTCTCTTCGACTGCACCGAAGTCACAAGAGACGCTACTTTTGATTCTCCAAAAATGTAATGCCACAAAAAGTTAGGTTATACTACTAGAAGATTCGTCACGTACGCACACAGGTGGCGCTAGTGTTCTTATTTTAAAAAAGCCAAGTGTCCAACCCTGACACTATTCCCCTACTATTAACCTGTTTTGAAATATTTCCAAACTAGTTTGAATCTAAGAAATCTAAACTTGTTTCAAATTTGTTCTAAACTAGATTAAATATGTGTAAACCACTATCAAATTTGTAATTATTTTTTTTTATTTATACATAGTAAACGAAACAAAAAATTCTAGAATTTAGAATAATTCTGAACTAGTTTAAATTGTACAAAACCAAATTGAACTTGTTTCAAGTTGTTTTAATCTACTTTGAATTTTTGTAATAAACCACTATCAAGTTAGTAAATTTTTTATTTATTTATACATAGTAAACGGGAAAAAAACAATAGAAACTACAATCATTCTAAACTAGTTTAAATGTGTGCAAAACTATAATTTGAACTTGTTTTATATTGTCCTAAACAAGTTTGTATTTGTGTAATAAGTAAAAAAAAAGAAGAAATAATTGTAGAAATATCTAATAAGCTAAAACTGTCATAATAAAAAATATTAGTTATTATCGTATAAATAATATTATTATAAACGTGTATTAACCATGTGACACAAATTTTTTTTTATCTACTCTACAAACTATACTTGCCAACAATATTTAGATAAAATTAATGTATTGATAATGTTTATCATATTATCATACCTATATAAATATTTTCTTGGTGTATTAACAATAGGTAGTTAAATGATAAATTTAACAGTACGTACATCAAATTTATTTATTAATACATTAAGAAAATAAATTTAACGATGAGTAAACTATTTTACCTTCTCTCAATTTTTGCTTCAATCAGCATTTCAAAAGTAAGATACTATTTGAATATTTTTATAAAATTTTTCTATTTTATTGTCTAATAGAAAAAAATTTTTTTTATACTGAAAATAGATAAAATTTTAATATTTTATTTTCATTCTAACTTCATTGTCAACCATATTCATGATTTTAATTAATTTTTAATTTAAGGCTTTTATCAGAACTGGAATTACACTTAATGGTGATGTTATTTCAAATGTTGAGCCTCAAGGTGTAATTGTCAAAAAATTGAATGAAACATCAACGGAAATTTTATATACAGAAGAATTTAATGCCGATACAAATCCTTTAAAAGTAGGAGAATTTTTATTTAATTCAATATGAAATTATTTCTCTTTTAAATCACATTCATTTTTCTTTAATTTTAATTTAATAATTATTTTTATTTTATTTTTATTATACATTCAATTATATATTATTATACAGCTTTATTGGAATTTCTTTTTTGAAAATACTGGAGTACGACAAATAGAAGAAATTGATAATTTATGTGCCAAACAAAAATATGGCTCTCCGAAATATGCTGCCAAGTCATATGTATTAAATTTTTTCGCCAATACTGATAAATGTCCAATAAAAAAGGTAATAGAAAAATTATTTTTGATAATAGTAAATAAAAAAAACAATTTTTTTCGAAAAAATTTAATTAATAATTAAATAAATTGAAAATATAAAAGTTAATTATTTACAGGGAACAAAAGTTATATATACAATAGGAATACCATTCACACATATTAACACTAATCCAAGCTGTGGAATTAATCATGGATCATTTAGTTTGTTTAAGAAAAATGTAGACGGTAAATCACCACTAGTCTTTTTATTTAATTTCAGATCAAATGTCACTGGTGACGATTGTTAAAAATATATATATAAATTACAAAAATAATTAAAAATATTTCTTTCGTAACAAATTTTCTGAAACTTTATTTTTGTTTAAGTCTTGAGAATTTTCTTCAGAAATAATTTATTTACAATGTTTCAAGAAAATGCTTATAACATATGCAATAAAAAAAATCTTTACTATTGAAAAATTATAAGTAAAATTACAATAACTTTTGCGATTTATTATATAAATTATATTATTATTTTTATAAATAAAAATTACTATAATTATTTGAGCACAATACTTGTTAGTTATAAGCAATTATTTTATATCTATTCACCATTTCACGTGAATACACAAATTAATAATGCGTGTTATCAATATTTGTTTTTTTTTAAATTGTTCAACATACACTTGATAATTTAAAATTTTGACACGTGAAACTAATATTTTAATAATAAAACAAATATTTTAGAACAAATATTTGATATTCAAATTATATGACTTTATTTAGATTTGCGTTTAATAAAATTACAATATTTTTATTTAATTTTTGTTAATAATTTATAAAGTATTGATATTATTGGAAGTTTAATAAGTTATTCAAATTTTTTAAAATAAATTATTATCATTATTTATCAAGAAATGTTTGTAATAAACTTAAAAAACTGGTTTTCTTACTTTACAATATATATATTTATTTTTTTTCTTAATAAATTATACACATGTAATTTACCACATGAGAAACGGTAGACAAGATACCAATAATGGAAAAAATAATAATTTCCTTAAATTTATTTTAATAAAACTTTACGTTATATTGTTATTGTTAATTAATTGAAAAATATCCTGAATTACAATAAATTATTTAACCCCTTCGCAGTGGAGGCCCAAATCTCATAAGTGGGCCCAAAAAGTCAGTAAATTTTTGAATGACCAAAATTTGTGCAAATATGTAGACTATGGTATTTAAAGTCGCTGATTACGATTCCAAAGTCAGATTTTAAAAATTCAAAATGGCGGAGCCAATATGGCGGACAAATTTTTTTAAAAAATGTCAAAAATGATTTAAAAATACTTAAAAATGGTTACTTGGGGGTTTTTGGGGTCGCTGATTACGAATCTAAAGTCAGATTTCAAAAATTCAAAATGGCCGAGCCAATATGGCGGACGATTTTTCAAAAAATGACAAAAATGATTTTAAAATACTTAAAAATTATTACTCAGAGGTTTTGAGGATCGCTGATTACGAATCTATAGTCAGTTTTCAAAAATTCAAAATGGCGTTACCAATGTGGCAGATAATTTTCTAAAAATTTAAAAATTAATTTAAATTACTTAAAATCTGTTACTTAGGGGTTTTGAACGTCGATGTTTACGATATTCAAGTCAGATTTTGAAAATTCAAAAAAGCATAGTATGGGTGTGATTATTATTGTATCCATTTTGAATTTTTGTAATTCTGACATCAAATTCGGAATCAGCGACCCCAAAAACCCCCGAGTAACGAATTTCAAGCGAATACGGTCAATTTTTAAAATTTTTGGTCGCCATATTGGATCCGCCATTTTGAATTTTGTAAATCTGACATCAAATTCGGAAGCAGCGACCCCAAAAACCCCGGAGTAACAAATTTTAGGCCAATTCCGTCTTATTATTGGGCTCAAAATTTATGTGCGTGTATACACGTCATCGACACTTTGAGCACACCTATTCCATGACGTGTATACACGTCATCGACACCCATGGGGTTAATGAACTTTTATAAAAACTGATTTATTAAAATAACAAATGGAATAAGAATAAGAATGGATTTATAACACCATATATATTATGTGATTTCTTGAGTATGCGCAAACAAAACTAAATTGGAGGCTGGTTTACGTCTAACCCCCAAGTAACGAATTTTAATCGAATATAATAAATTTTATAAAAAGTAAACTATATTGGATCCACCATTTTGAATTTTTAAAGACTAAAATCTGATTCGTAATCAGCGACCCCAAAAACCTCCGAGCAATGACTTTCAGTCGAATCGAATGAAGTTTTCAAAAACTTGTCCGCCATTTTGAATTTTTAAAAACTAACACCGGATTCGTAATCAGCGACCCTAAAAACCCATTAGTACTAAGTGTCATGGAAATTTATTCGCGGGAAGGTCTTATACACTTTTGGACCATTTTGTTATATTTTAGCTGCACACCGAAGGGGTTAATAATAATTAATTAATTGATTAATAATATAATGCCCGGCGATGGATGTCCACTACCACACGGAAAAAAATTTTATGATAGCGTACGAGCTATATTGGGAATATAATAAATATAAAGAACAACACTGCCAACATAGTGAATTAAGCTTTGCACAATAGCCGAATGTTTAGTCGACTCAGCTAAAGTAAATTTAGGTGGAATCTAGCTAGTCAGCTATATTGGAAATATTTGATAATTTACCGTTCTTGCCAAGAAATATTTCTTTAATAAAGTGTCAAGTTTTGCGATTTTTCAGTTTTAAAATAATACTAATTTCAACAATTTACTTTTCATTGGTTATAATTTGTAACCTAGGATTGAAAGGATTTAAAAATGCGCATTTAATATTATTCTTTACACAATTTCAATAATATCTGTCATTTTAAGGTTACGTTGTTTTCGACTAAAATTCAATATGGCTATTCCAGTGATATTGCCAATATCCCTCGTTCATTTTTGACGAAATTTTTAGTTGTTATAGCAAAAAAATTCTCCGATTCAGTTGTACTTTTTTTCCGTGCAAGAATCATGTAAATAATTGGTAGAACTTGTGGTGGCGGGGCTTTTCACTAAAAGACATCCAAAAACCAATATGTAAGGTACTGCAGCATCCAATGCCACAAGAAGGATAGGCAATGGGGCACCCAATTTTTTAAAATTCCCCAGGCTTGCTTAGAAAGATATGGAAATAGAAGAGAAAGCACTTCAAGCGTTTCTAGTGTCAGCAGCGGAGGAAGTTTGATTCCATCTGCCCTAGATAACGAGACAATCGAAGAAGAACGTGAAAAGTGTTTAAAGTTTAGGCAGAAAGAAGCTGAGTGTCTTCAGAGAATCGAAGAGGAGATTGCCAAGATAGTAAAGGTTTGCGGAGTCTAGAAGAATGTCAACATAACTATTAAGAACGGACTTAAGACTCCTTAGGATCTTGTCAGTGATGCGAAGACAAAGCACGCCCTAGCTGTAAATGGAGATAGCAAACTTGGTGGCGCTATAGACTATGCAGAGGTGAACTGAGAAGAACGAAAGAGGAAAAGAGAGCGTATCCATTAGAAGCTGCTTCAGCGCGCAGTCATGGAGACGCAGAAACAAAGAAAAAGGTCAGAGAGGACTGACGTCGAGGCAAAGAAGAAGAAGAAGAAGCAAGAGTAGACACCTCTTGTCAAAAAGATTGCGAAGGTGACGGTAGCAGCGAATCATAAGCAAAGTTTAAAAAAAGTAACGAGTGTATCTACAATGGTGATGTGAGTCACAACATGAACAACGTATCCCAACGTAGTGAGCAAACTTCAGGTGCAAGGCCTACAAAACAGGGAGATCACCTGATTAAAATCGAAGGAGACTGCAAATACGGAGACATTCACCGCTAAGGTCACTAAAGCTGTTGGAAGCATGGGGATGGTGCAGATTGTGGCTCGACAGGTCACACTGGAGATCCGCGACCTGGATTGTCTTACCCAGGAAAAAGAGGTCCAGCAGGACCTCGCGGTTATAGTTATCGATCCAGAGGAAACGGACAGGCTGGAGAAATTGGGGCGCATAAAGATTGGCTTTGTGTTGCCCAATCAAAAGAAAGGTGATGGTCATTCGGTGTTACCAATTCTCGGCTTACAGCTACATAGGAAGAGTTTTTAAGGCAGCAGACAGATCGAATGCGTGCTTTAAGTGCGGTAAAGTCAATCATAAGTTTGCAAACTGCAGTAGAAGCCAAACCTGCTTCTTATGTAGAGAAAAGTATGGCGATAAGGCGAACAAAAATATGGCTCTGCGGAATAGTAATTAATTATCTTGTTAACAAGTTTCACCTCGGCCTTATCGCAGGCAGTGGAGGATGCGGAGTCTTCAGGACGGCCTTTGAGGAGTCCAAAAAGACTCTCGCACGAACGAAGAATAAGTACACTGAGAGAAGAAAAGCACGGAATCTGAAATGGAGAAGTTCAGCATCTGTACACCAAGTTGAGCGCAGCTGCAGCGTCACTGCGTGATAGATGCCGTACTAAAATGTGAAATGGATGTTGTACTTGGCTTGAGTATAGATACTGTACACAGATATTAACTGTTCAGAAGTACAGTATCTGTCAGTCGCTATGAGACAGATTCCGTATAACTTAGTTCACACCGCTGCCGCGCTGCTAGAGCTTAGTATCTGAACTATGAAAGACACCAACTGAACAAAACTAAAGAACGGATACTGACACCCATTTTACACGGCCGGCGTTCGTCACAGTACGGATTCTGTGCTTTTCTTCTCTCAGTGTAGGTCAGAAAAAATGTCAACGGTATGAGTCGCAAAATCGAGATCCCAGGGGCCTACACCTATGAAGTATAAAGCTTGACGATAGTTCCGTAATGTGAGAATTAGTGGGTCGGACAGAACTATAAATACTATAAAACTCTTCAAAATCCAGTATAAAGGATATACCAAGTTTTAAATCCTAATTGTCGAAAATACGATGATTTATATTTTAATGAAATTTCTGAATCAATATTTTTCAGTTTTTGGTATTAATTATTCAATATCAATTGAAACGGATTCTAAATTTGAAAAATTATATTTCAAATAAAAAAAAACAAAACACACAACGTAATTAATGTACTAAGTGAAAAATAATGTTTTGTAGAAAGTGAATAAAACTAATAATAATTTCCGGTAACTTAATGTTAGGTACGTACGGTACGTTTATATACTTATATTACAGATAAAATGAATGAGGGTGATGTGTAATTTTTTTTTAAAGGAAAGTAATTAAACTAGATAAATATCTAATAAGACAAACGTCATATTCAAAAATGTTATTCTAATTCAATGAAGGAAAATTGATAAATAATATTTATCACCTAAATGTGTAATTTGACCAAGACATTAAAATTTTTATCTGTAAAATAACATTGACAGCAATTTTTCGGTACATTTAACTTAATGACATCCTTCAAATTATTTTTGTATATAAATATTTGTCTTATGAGGGAACAATGAATAGTTAAACATTGCATTTTTAGGGTTCTTACATCAGTTTTAAATTATATTAACATTAACAAAATGAATTTAACGATACGTAAAGTATTTTTTTTTATTTCGATTTTTGCTGCTATCAACATTATAGACGTAAGATTTTACTTTAATTGAATATTTTTTATAAATTCCAAAAACTTTCTATTATATTGTATTGTAATATTTATTATAAATTATTATTATATGTTATATCAGTAATATCCCTGACGAAAGTTTCGAATTAAATTTCAGTTAGTTTTAATATAAGTATTGTTCTGAGACATTTCGAAATTTGTTTCCGTGACAATTAGTTTCTACCTGAATCTAAATTTTAATGAAACACAGAATATTCTTTTCGAATTAATTCGTTTCATTATGGAGCTGAATTTTAATTCTTTTAAATTCTAAAATTTCATTTTGAATTAAACTTCTCAATGAAATGGATTCATTTTAAGTAAAATTTCATAATTTAAGAGGATTAAACTTTGCTTCGGATTGATTCGAAATGGAATATCAGGATTTTAAAGGATTAAAATTAAGCTTCGGAATGATTCGGGAAGAATTTTTTATTGAGTTACGTGGTAATTTAGATTTGGATAAAAATTGATTAGCTTGAAAACGAATTTTCGAACGCCTCGGAATAATACTCACCAAAATTAATTAAACAAAAATTATCCAAAACTTTTGTCAGGTCTGATATAAAATTTTATTATTTTAACTTAATCCTAATTTCAATTTGGAACGCATGAGTATTCCTCACATTAGACATCTCCGAATTTTTTTTGGTGTCGAATAAAAAATTATCAAATTTTTAATTTTGCTAAATATACTGGTAAATAAAAATTCGATAATTTTTAATTCGACACCATAAAAAATTCCGACAGGTCTAATCTGAGAAATATCCATGTGCTCTTTTAATTTCTATACTTAAGATTTATGTATAATTATAATTTAATTTTTATAAAGTGTATTCTATGCTTAAAATTTAGGTGTAATTATAATTTTATTATTTAAAAGGGTTTCATTAGAACTGTAACTCCAATTTATGCAAATTTCATGACAAAACATGATCCTGAGGGTGTAAGTGTAACAAGAATTAACAAAACTACAACTGAAATTGTATTTACAGAAGAATTTAATGCCGATACAAATCCTTTAAAAGTATGAAATTTAATATTTTAATAAAAAATTATTTCTTTCTAAATGATATACTGTTGTAAATTTTTATCTCAATTTTTCAACTACTTAAGAGGTTATTAGTTTCGATTATTATGAATCTAATATTAGATTTTCAATATTAAAAAAAAGACAGACTATTTTTTTTAATTCATCAAATTTTATTGAAAAATTTTTACACGGAAGTTTTCAGGATAATATATCTGATATTAAATTTGAAATTAGCGATCCAGAAAACCTCCAACTATAAAAAGTTTTAAGTGAATTTAATCAATTTTAAAAATTTTTCTTGACCACATTGGATCGAAAATTAAAATTTTTTTTTTTAAATATATTTTTTGTTTATTTATTTATATAGGTTCATATCGATTACTTTTTCGAAACTTCTGGAGAACGACATATTATTCAAATTGATAATTTATGTGCCCCACAAAAAAATGACACTACGGAATATGCTGCTCAGACATATGTATTAAAATATTTCGGCAACACTGATAAATGTCCAATAAAAAAGGTAATAATTTTTTCTTTTTTCTTTAATAATTTATTTTAATTAATTATTAAAAAAAAAAGTTTCAGTTTGATAATAAATAAAATTATTAAAAAATTTTCTCCTTGAAAATTTATTGAATATATATTTAAATGTTAATTATTTATAGGGAACAAAAGTTACACATACAATAGGAAAGCCTTTTACATGTAACTTAACTGATCCAGACTGTGGGAGTGATGATGGAACAATAAGTATGTTTAAGAAAAATTCAAAAAAAGGCAATTCACCACTAGTCTTGCTGGTTCATTATGGGGCAAAAGTTACTGGTTCCGATTGTTAATAAAAAAAAAGTTTATAAACTGTAATGTGAATTATTTAATTTTATTTTTTACAAAAATTAATTCTAAATGGATAATAATTTACTTGGAATGTTAAATATAAGAATGTTTTTAATGTACGTAGAGGAGTTGGAGGTTAATTGTACAATAAATTTTAAAATATTAAATAAATTATTGTGAAAATTATAAATGATTTTATAATGATAATTGCTATTATTTAATTTAAAATTTATTTTTATATAATAATAATAATAATTCGAGAATCTGTTATAGGGTAGGTGGATCAATTATCCGTAAAAGCTGATTCGGCGTTTCACGAATAATCACGACCCATCTTAAATGCAATTCTGCATCACAAGTGGGAAGCTTAATCTCAGGAACGTGTGACGACATATTCTCAAATACCAACGAAAATTCCGACCAAAGCATATACTGATATCAGTTGGACTCAATAGATTTCCTTAGTCAGACACATTTCATCATTTCAAATTATGTATCATTCAAAATATCCCTGAAAATAATTTGAATTTGTCCAAAATCAATAGGAACTAATATCAAAATTGTCCCAAAACTAGTTTGAATTTGTTTTAAAACATTATCAAATTATTTTACAATAGGTATTTTTATAATCAGTTTAAACATGTTACAAGTTGTTGCAAAATAGTTTGAATTTGTTTCAAATTAGTTTTAACCTGTTTTAAATTATTTAAAATTAGTTAGAAAATTTTAGAATCAATTTGTACATGTTTCAATGTTCGATTCGTAAAAGTTAGTATTTGTGCCAAAAACAAATATTTTCTGAAAAATAGTTTTTGATTATGTGCCAGTAGAACCAATATGAACTTGTTTGAAGTTATTCCCAACTAGTTTGAATTTGTTTGAAATCAGTATAAACTTGTTTCAAATTATTTCATATTAGTTAGGTACTTTTATAATCACTTTGAACTTGTTTCAAGCTGTTCAGAAATAGTTTGGATTTATTTAAAATTAGTATCAACATGTTTTTTTTAAATTATTCCTTATTAGTTGGGTATTTTTATATTTAGTTTGAACTTGTTTCAATTTGTTGCAAACTAGTTTGGATTTGTTTCAAATTAGTTTGAACTTGTTTCAAGTTGTTGTAAACTAGTTTGGATTTATTTCAAATTAGTTTTAACTTGTTTCAAATAATTTCAAATTTGTTATGTAGTTTTATAATCAGTTTGAAGTTGTTTCAAGTTGTCCTAAACTAGTTTGTTATACTTTTGCAAAACCAATATCAACTTGTTTGAAATTATTTCAAAATAGTCCAGGATTTTTAGAACCTGTTTAAAACTTGTTTCAAATTATTCAGAAATAGTTTGTAAAATTTTTTGCAAAATTACTCTAAACATAATTTAAATTGTTCAAAACTTGTTTGAATGTGTATAAAACAAATTTGAACTTGTATTAAATTGTCCCTGAACCATTTTAAAATTTTTTATTTATTTATTTTTTTTTTTGAATGGAAAATATTAAAAATTGATATTTAAATATATTTAATAAGCTAAGTGTTAGAATTAAAAAAAATTCTAATCCAATGAATAGAAGGAAAATCCTTATAAATAACATTATATCATAAACGTGTATATTAACCAAGACAACTTTTTTTATCAACTCTATAAACTATACAATAATGTCAACAATTTTTTCGATAAAAGTAAATTACTGATATTTTATACATAATTTTCGTAAATAAATATTTTATTTGTCACGAAACAATAAGTAGTTGAACTTGACATTGAATAGTACTAGCACCAATTTTGAATATTATTAACATTAATAAAATGAATATGATAATACGTCAATTATTTTATCTTCTTTTATTTTTTACTACTGTCAACGTCACGAATGTAAGATAAGTTCTATGGTATTATATTATATTTTATAAGTATTTTCATTAAAATTTGTATAAATAGAAATTCGGACAAAAATGAAAATACGGTGAATTGAAAATTCTGGCATTTAAAAATTTTAATCACATAAAATTCTGTTAAATGATAATTCTACACTGTAAAAAAAAATTTATTTAATTCAAATAATCAGTTACTTGACTATTATCAAATAAATATTTATTTTTATCAAATAATTATTATTTGAGACGGTATTTGTTTCAAAAAACAGAAATTATTGATTTAAATACAATTTATTTAATTCAAATAAAAATTATTTGATACAAGTAAATATTTATTTAATAATAATATGTCAAGTAACCAATTATTTAAATCAAATAAATTTTTTTTTCAGTGTATGCTAAATTAATATTCGCTTAAATTAGAATATTTTAAATAAAATGTTGCTTATGATTTTAATTTTTATCCTTTATTTTTAAGGGCTTTATGAGAAGTGGAATTACAATTTATGGTTATGTCATGCCAAGTGCTGAACCTCAGGGCGTAATTGTGACAAAAAGAAGCAATAATGAAACTGAATTTTTATATACAGAAGAATTTAACGCCAATACAAATCCATTAAAAGTACGAGATTTAAATATTAAGTTATTCAATTTTTTCTTCCTCGAAACGAGGAAAAACTTTAAAATTTAACTTTTTCTAAAAAATTACTTAAAAATATTAAAAACTTTTTCATATCAATATTATAATTTTTCATTAAATAGTAATAATACTAATAATAATAATAATACAATTTTTAAATTTAGCGCCATTATCTATAGTTTTGTGTTATATGGTTGGCACTACTTGTACTTAGCCAATTAACAAAAGATTCCTAACCTAAAAAATTCGTCTGTTCAATTTTGTGAATTGTCCTAAATAAACTTCGAAAAGTCAAATCTTTTTTTAATTTGTTTCACGAAAAACAAAAAATTTGGTACTTTTTTACTTAATTACTCAATTTTTACAATAATTTACACTTTATTTTTGAATTTAAAACAAAATTGATATAGAAAATATTTTTAAAACTTGTTTCCGCAAGTTAAAATAAGTTTTAATTTTTTTTTCTGTAACAGCTCAAAGCAAACCATAATATTAATGTACTTCTGTTTATATAGCTTTATTTCAATTATCTTTTCGAAAATACTGGAAAACGACAAATCGTAGAAGTTGATAATTTATGTGCGGAACACAAATACGGTACTCCGGAATATGCTGCCAAGTTATATGTATTAAAATATTTCGCCAACACTGATAAATGTCCAATAAAAAAGGTAATGGAGAAAAGTATTTTTAATAAGAAACAATAATTTTTTTTTCATTGACAATTGAATATAAAAATAAATTTAATTTTTTATAGGGAACAAAAGTTACATTCAAAATAGGACAGCGTTTTATATATTCTATAGAAAATCCAGGCTGTGGTATTAATGTTGGAACATTCAGTTTGTTTAAGAAAACTTCAATACCAGACATTACACCATTAGTCTTTCTGGTCAACTTTAGAGGAAATATTACTGGTCCCGATTGTTGAAAAAAAAAATGTTTATTAATCAGAAAAAAATATTAAATTGTTTAATTATTACAATGGGTAATCTTTTACAAAAAATGAATGAACTATTTAATTTTAACGTACAACCAGAAAAAAATTTCTTTAATTCAAAGAAATCAATTTTTTTCACAAATTTTTCTTTGATACAAAGAAAATTTATCTGTTTCAAACAAATTATCTTTGATTCAAAAAAAAAAAATTATCTTCGTTTCAAAGAAGTTTTTTATTTAATTCTAATAAATGTTTCTTTCACCATATATTAAAGTTCTTTGAAACGAAGAAACTTTTTTGTTTCAAAGAAAACAAGTCAAAGAAATTGGTTTCTTTAAATCAAAGAATTTTTTTTTCCAAGTGTAAAAAAAGTTTTTAATATATGGGACGTTTCGCGCCAACCGGGCCACCCATCTCTCCAAAATTGAGAGCTTTCAAAATTATTGATTATATATAGAAATTATGTGTATATATAAGTACTTTTGAAAAATGAGTGGCCTTTTGAAAAATCCAATATGGCGGCTGAAATATAACCCATAAAAGAATGAAAAACAGGAAAGATGGTTGCAAACATATAAATAAAAATGAATATAATGAAGAAAACAGCTCTGCATCGACATAAAGTTCATCACTTAAGAATAGACAATATATACCATAAGTGAAAATAATAAATTTACCAAATCCAAAATGGCGGATCCAATATGGCGGACTAAAATTTTTAAAAGTAATTGGAATCACTTGAGACTTGCCACTAAGGGGTTTTTGGGGTCGCTGATAACGAATCTGAAGTCATTTTTTCTAAAATTCAAAATGGCGGATCCAATATGGCGGACTAAAATTTTTAAAAGTAATTGGAATCACTTGAGTCTTGCCACCAAGGGGTTTTTGGGGTCGCTAATAACGAATCTGAATTCTTTTTTCTAAAATTAATTATGGCGGATCCAATATGGCGGACGAATTTCAAAGAATTAATCGAAATCGTGTAAAAGTCGTTACTTGGGGGTTTTAGGAGTCGCTGATTACAAATCTTATCTTACTTTTATTGAATTACATTATTTTCTTAAGTAATTGCTCTTTAAATCTGAATTAGTAAAAATGTTTACTAATTAAAATTAGTGACTCACTTTTTGCTTTAGAATTAGTTAAATTTTACTAATTGTTAGTAAAAGTTACTAATAATTAGTAAAATTTTTACTAATTCAGAGGCAAAAAGTGAGACACTAATTCAAATTAGTAAACATTTTTACTAATTCAGTTTTAGAGAGTGTACCGTCGACATTGACGTTACCCGATGAACACCGCGGGGAGGTTGCACGATCGGTTTTGTACATCATATAGCCCTTAAAAGGGCTGTTTGGTAGAGCTGCCTGAATTTTGAAAAAAGATTAAGATCAAAATCAGCGTAACAGCATTTATTATTAATTTTTTTACATTTAATAATGTTTTATTTATCAATAAAAAAGAATTTTTTAAATTTACTTAAAAAAGATTGAATGTAAAGAAAAAATTTGAGAATAGAAAAAGAGGTAATCTGGGTTACTACTATGCCACATAGGGTTAATCAAAGTCAGATTTTCTGTATCTTTTGTTATAAATATCAAATATGAAAATAAAAAAATGAAGTAAGAAGAACAGTATACGCATCAACTATTAACCACACAGAAAAAGAATGTTCACCAAAGTGCTTCTATTTATCATATGGAAGTTGCGTCTCTATAGTGAGAAAGAAATGGATTCATTCATCCTCGACATTTAGCGTTAAAAAAAGTAACTAAATTTCTTGCTTGAGCATATTGTATGCACACGTCATAGTCTAAATAGAATAATAACTCGATAAATCTTTTCAATATTTAGCTCTAAAGTGTTTTCTAGATCGCTGGATAAGAATCTAATTTATTAATGTTACGATAAACATTTCATTTTTTAAAACAATTTATTATTGATTATTTATAGCATATTAAAAAAAACTGGAAATCAACAAATTTCTATGAAATAATTAACTTTTTAGTACCACATAGTATTAAATTAATAATCCAAATAAGAAATTCAGTTAAACTGCTGAAAACTACTGCATAAAATTGTTTAAATAAACAATTTTTGTTATGTTTTAACTTTTTACCCATTTTAGAAAAAAGACTTCAGATTCGTTATCAGCGACCCCAAAAACCCCTTAGTGGCAAGACTCAAGTGATTCCAATTACTTTTAAAAATTTTAGTCCGCCATATTGGATCCGCCATTTTGAATTTTAGAAAAAATGACTTCTGATTCGTTATCAGCGACCCCAAAAACCCCTTAGTGGCAAGTCTCAAGTGATTCCAATTACTTTTAAAAATTTTAGTCCGCCATATTGGATCCGCCATTTTGGATTTGGTAAATTTATTATTTTCACTTATGGTATATATTGTCTATTCTTAAGTGATGAATTTTATGTCGATACAGAGCTGTTTTCTTCATTATATTCATTTTTATTTATATGTTTGCAACCATCTTTCCTGTTTTTCATTCTTTTATGGGTTATATTTCAGCCGCCATATTGAATTTTTCAAAAGGCCACTCATTTTTCAAAAGTACTTATATATACAAATAATTTCTATATATAATCAATAATTTTGAAAGCTCTCAGTTTTGGAGAGATGGGTGGCCCGGTTGGCGCGAAACGTCCCATATGTATTCCAAAAAAAAATTTCACGATTGAAAATTACATGTAAATGATATATAATAAATGTATTATTATATGTATATACCAGGGAACATGAAAATTACTATAATTATTTTTTTAATAAGATACTTCAACTTTTTATGTCTACAACTTGTAGAGGACTTTTAAAATACAATATATTTATTTTTAATAAAATAACTCTAAAATATAACTTGTAATTAATAGTTTTAAAAAATAATTAATAATAAAGCAGCTCCTTTTCGCCGTGTGAATAAATTTAATCTTCCTTGAGGTTAAAGGCAGTAGATATGTCTGCGCAGAAGCTATATACAAACATTCTGCGCAGACGCAGAATATATCTACTGCCTTTAACTTTAAGGAAGATTAAATTTATCCACAAGGTGAAAACAACAATATAAAAAAAAATAATTTTCATGAGCTTTAAAATAGTATAACCCTTTTTGTAAAGAAAAATAATGTGATAATTTACAATTTTTTTTTTTTGGTAAAAAAAACAATTGTATGTAATTATTACTTACAAAAAATATATTTCTAACCTTATAGAGAGCAGCCAATCTATCATATATATTTTGAACAATGAAATCTGTATTAAACACACGCGATATTTAAAAAATTTCGAACACTACCGAAATCACGTTTAATAAATTAAAGAAACAAATTACTTTTCCTAAAGATTTAAGCAATCGTAATTTTAAGAATTTCGAACACTTCCGAAACAAAAAATTTACGAAAATGATAAAAAAAAAAGTTTTGAATATTTTTTATTCACGAATTAAAAAATTCGAACACACACGAAACAATTTACTTCAAATATAAAAAGACAATAAAGAAAATATATATTTAAATACATAAAAATTTTGCTATTTAATTTACAAAATTTACACTCGAATTGATCGTGTCTAAACAGGTCGATACACGAATTGCAACTGATTGAATTATTACTTGAGATTTCCTACCCGCACGCATTGTTTATAACTCAGGGTTTCAGTTACCCTTTGTACTTAAATGTAAACATAAACAGCTCGGGTTGCACAGATATAAAAATAATTCCAAAATATTTTTGTCATAATATTTATATAATATTTATATATTAAAAATTTTTCGTATCATTCAGTCCCTTGATGATGTGCATTTGCTGCAATCTGATGTCGATAAAATTGTATTTTGGTCGGAAGCTAATTTTTTACCGCTTAATATTTCTAAATGTCATGTTCTATCTTTTTCCCGATCTAAATCCCCAATACAATCAGACTATGTCATTAACCATATGATAATTAACAGAGTATATTCAACCTGTGACCTTGGTGTGATCTTTGACTATAGGCTGTCTTTTAATGAGCAGATTTCTAATGTGGTTAAGTCAGCGTCTATAGCGTTAACGTATTTATTTAGATCATCTAAAAATTTCCGAAATGAAACTACGTTCATAGCCTTATATAATTCTCTAATATTATCGAAGTTTAGGTATGCTTCCTCTGGGTGGAATCCTTATTTTGAAAAGTATAAATTGGAACTCGAACCTGTCCAAAAGCGTTTTTTAAAATTTTTGGCGTTTAAGGAGGATGGTTCGTACCCCTTACCTGGCTCAAACTACATTAGTTTATGTAACAGATTTCATTTTAAAACTCTAGCTGCTAACAGAATTTTTGATGCTATTATTTTTTTATTAAAGATATTGAACTCGCAAATTCATGCGCCTGAACTACTACTGCAAATACCTTTTAGAATTCCGAGATTACAGTCTAGAAATGACGAACCGTTCTACCTCTCAGCACCTACCAACACAAGTGGTGAAGTTGCCCCAATATATTTTGCATGTAAGCATGTAAATATATTGGTGTCGAAAATTCAGCCTGATTTGGACTTGTTTTTTTCATCGAAATCTAAGTTTATTGAGACACTTAATGCATATGTAACCGATTCTTAATATGTTATTTTTTGTGTTAATTTCTAATTTTTTTTTTTGTGGAAATTATATGTACCACAACTTAATCTAAACAACTTACATTATCATTTCGTCACCCATTTATGGTCCAATTAGGACTGCGGGTGTATATGTAAATAAATAAATAAATAAATAATATAATATAAAAAATTATAGTTCTTTACTACATGGAAAGTAAAAAGCTACTTTGGGGTAAATTCGATTTTACTTTAAAATTCAAAATTATTTTTATTTTTCTTTATATAATTTTTTAAGGCTTACTTCAGTTATATTTTCGAGGATACTGGAACTTGAGAATTCATAAAAGTTGACAATTTATGCGCTAACTATAAAATTGGAAGTTTAGAGCATGACGTTCAATTATTAATTTTGTCAAAATTTGTAAATATCAACAATTATCCAATCAAAAAAGTGAGTAAATTAGAAAACTAATATATGCTCTATATTTTCTTAAAAAAAAAAAAATATTATACATATAAATAAAACATTTTTTTAAACCATAATTTTTAGATAAAAATTAAAATATAAAATTTTTCTCTATAGGGTACTAAAGCAGTTTACAGAGTACCTGATCCTTATACATATCAAACGGAAAATCAAGAATGTGGTCGAGTTGATGGAAGAGTATCTATATTTAAAAGAAATTTACAAAAACCACGTTTAAATCCACTAGTGTTGGGAATTCACTTTTTGGGAAACGTGACTGGTGCGAAATGTTCGAATTAGATTTTGAACATTTTTTTTTAATATGGAGAATATATATACAATTGATTTTATTTAAAAAAAAAATAATAATAATAGAAATTTTATTTTACATAAATTTATATGATTTTGTTTTAAAATTTTCGAATTTTTTATAATTACTAAAAAAAAATTTTGAAACTAAAACGAGAAAATTTAGTAACTATATAAAAAAATTGGATTAATTCTAACAAATATTAACCTGAAAGTAGTTTAATACCATTAATTTTTATTAGAAAGCCTTATAAATGATCATAAAATACATAAATCTAAGAGTTACAATTTTTTACTGTTCTTATAATATTTTATTGTATTTGAGAAGTTTAAATAAGTGCGTTTTTTCGTTTATTGGTGGTCGTTGGCGTTTCTAATCGAAAAGTAAACGCTTCGCAGTGAACGCACGATATATATACTTGAGGCGCCCGAGCGTGTGATGGAGGGGGCGAGACTCTCGCTAGCCAGAGAGTCAGAGTGCCCCCTCCATCACACACTTGCGCGCCTAGAGTATAAATATAGTTCGTTTACTGCCGAGCGATCACTTTTCGATTCGTCGAGTAGCAGTGAATATTTCTCCTGGTTGTACCATCATTAGGCCACTAGTTAAATTAAATTTAATTAGTTACATTAGTATTGTACACTGGAGACTCCATCCATTGGACGGCTCGAGTCTTACTCTCTAAATCTGAATCAGTCATATTTTACTTATTAGCAGTAGAAATCTACTAATTGCCATAGCGAGAATTGAGCAACTGACAATTAGTAGAAATTTACTGATTCAATTAGTAAAATATCAATTACTGATTGAATCAGTAATATAAATAGATGGCGGCGGCCACAATATCTACTGATTTAATAGTTAATTTTAAAGGTTATGTTATTTACTATTATTTATTATTATTTATTTATTATATTTATTATTTAGTTATTTTCTATTGCTTGCATATTCACTAATTATATTAGTAAATTTCAAAAAATAACTGAAACTTCAGTTAAAATGAAAAGTACTGAAAACGCTGAAAACTGTAAACCTTCAGGGCTGTACTACGAATAAAAAAGGTGGGGGGCTCTCTCTCAGAACGTATATTACATAAAGCAACTAATGTTCACTTATAATGGTACCATTAAAACAGACGCTCCTGAATATTATTTTCTGAGTGCAGACACGCCCACTTCTTTCCCCTTACGTTTTACTGTATCGCGCCACCAACATGTTCAATGGATGGAGTCCCAATGGATAAAGTCTCCAGTGTATGTCAAAAATAAAA